GTCTTTAGTTTTAAATGGGAGGAACCGATTCGAAGAAAAACGAGCTCACTTAAACGATGACAATAAATATTCTTGTGATATATCAACGAGTAGAGATCTGCATTTCTGACGTCTCTTGACTCAATGTCATTCACTTCTTCAGAGTAAGCAAATAAATAATGGAAATGAAATTAACACGTTTAAATAGTACGAAGGAAACAAAGCAGAATAATTTTAGTACAATCAAAATCATAATAGGTTTGAATATAACAATCTAATGTTATTCTTTGTGAAGGCGATTCAGTATGAGACATTACTGTTTCCATCTGTGTCCATTATGCTGGTTGTAAAGAACGTACAATTTAAAGTATGAAGTGGTGAAGTTAAAATTTGAGTGTGTGCATAGATTGTGTGGATCGAGTCAAATGTGGTTGTTTGGGTGAACGGTTCAAGTTGAATGAAGTGAGGCCTTCTTTCCTGTTGATGGCAGAGGGACTTAGCATTATGTAAGATCCTCGCTCTTTTTATGGTTGGAAAGGCCTTTCTGAATTATTTTGAGATTTTTAATATTAAGTCGGTGATTATTGGAAATAGCATATACTGTTATCTCTGGTTTAATTTGTGGATTTTCCAATTCTACAGGATTATTAGGCCTTTTTGTGTAACTTAAGTGCTCCTTGACACTAGTCGAGATTCTTCAATGTAGATCGTATCACAATCGACATAACCTAATCTGTAGACGGGATTTTGCGTGAATGTAAACGCGACCTTTAGTTCTAACTAAGGCGCTTCGTAGTGTTGGTTGTTTTATAGAAAGGTTTAGTTCTGTATGTTCTTAAGATCTGTTGTTGTTCATATAAAGTTCCTCTGAAGGTAAACAGCGTTGAATTTAAGCAGCTTGAGATATTTCATGATTGAACTAATGCTTGATAGACATTTGCTGGAGAAGATCGTTATTCTCAAGCAAACAACTAATAGTGTCTAGACATCTGTCATTCGGAATACTAGTGCATAAAGGTACATCACAGATTACAACTGTTTCGTTCTCGTAGAAATTAAACGATGGTTTGTAGGCATATGGAGAGTGAAAAAGCATCTACATCAGTTAGGTGTGCTCTGTTAATTTGTAAAAGTATATGTTATAATAGAATTTCGATAATGTAATAAGACGGAGATTATCAGAACTATGTGATATATTAGCGCAATACATTTCGAACAATCTGGTCACACATATACTTGTTAAGAGCATTTATATATAAAAAAATAAAAGGTCAACTAGACTGGAAATGAGGTAAGAGGAGATAAGGACAATAATAATAATAATAATAGAATAATGAGTAATAATAATAATCTGAACACAATTCAAAACCTAATCACTCTGGATAATAAGTCAATATTACCAGGGTAGGTTTAAGGTAAGAACAAACTGTTTTTGAATACACAAAGGGGGTTTGAATTTTCGTATGGCTAAGGCTTCAATAAACCTTAGTATACGCCCTTTTACACTTTTATACAATACCACAAAAGCCGAGTTTAGATCAATCTTGTGCCCTGTTTCAATTATATGTTTAGCAATGGAGGATGATGGATGTTTATCCTTTGCCCTTATTGGGTCACTTGATTGTATTTGTTTCTGCAGCCATTTGGGTACATTTTCACTCACCCTAATGTTAAGATTACGATTGCTCCTCCCTATGTATGTGTGACCACACACACATTTAAATTGGTAAACACAATGGGATGTGACACAATCATTTTCATGTCTTTTAGGTTTTGTATGAAACACGCACCTTGTTCTTTCTTTGACAACGACCTTTGCTGCGCAGTACGTTTTGCTGATGACTGATTTAAGTCTTTGTTTCAATAACAGACTATTTGAATCACCTCTGAATGGTAAGGTGATGTAGACAGGCTTTTTTTCTACTGAGGCTACAGTAGGTCTCACTGTACCATGGACTTTCCATCTATTTATGAATTTCAGAGGGTAACCATTTTCTATTAATGTTTTGTTTAGCAACTTAACATCGTCATCAATGGCTTCATTTGTACAAATACGATCAAGCCTGTTGGAAAGACACTTTATCAAACCATGTTTGTATTGCACAAGGCAATAACTATAATAACTAAGGTATTGACATGTCCACGTTGGTTTTCTAAAAATGGACCACTTGACTGAGCCATCTCGTCTACTCAGAAGTATATCTAGGATCGTTCTTCTCCTTTTCACATGAGAGACTGATATGGTTTTGGAGAGTGTTGAATTCATTTAATAAACAGTACATATCCTCTTTTCTTTCACAAACAACTAAGATATTGTCCACATATATCTTATAAAGTGACAGGTTTACAATTAGGTCATCAGCCTGATTTTCAACATGTGCCATGAACACGTCTGCTAATAATGGTCCTAGCAGACTATCCATAGCAACCCCCTCAATCTGACGAAAGTATTCACCTTCAAAAGTGAACTGAACTTTGCCAACACATAATAATGGTAAATCTTTAAGGATTTTTACAGGGACATGTGCGTGAAGATTGTCTACAGATATGTAATCACATAATATATCACTAGTTTTTTTCAAAGGTACATTTGTAGACAAGTAATTCACATCAAATGAACATATCGTCTTTTCTTTGATATTAATATCACCTAAATGATCGACCAATTCAAAAGAATCCTTTTGAGAACACTTACATAGATGTCTTCTGATAGGGTCCAATAACTGTTAACCCTTTAGCCAGGTTATGTGTAGGTGATATGATAATCTCTGTCTTCTTATTACATTATCGAAATTTATCAAAGGGAGTAATTGCTTTAAATTTATAATAGAAGTTGGCTAGAGTGTTACAAACGACTAGCCGGTAGTAGTAATCTTTATACAAGAATTTGTGCTCAACACGTGGATGACTGACTCGTAAACAACTAGCCGGGTTCCTTTCAGATTGTGGATGTACTGGTGACGTCACTATATCAGATGCTGATAATCACTTTTTAAAAGAAAGCCGTATATTTTTGCATCCGGGCAGCTTTTTATTTTTTGAGCAGGATAATGAGCTGAAATAGCCTAGGGAAGAGGATTTTATTGACATCTTCAAGGGTTTAGCAGGGGCATCACAAGTAGAGCGAAGGTATACTTTTCATCCTTAATTCAAACCAGGAAAGAGATTAGTGGTGGTAAATCACTGTCACTACCCCTCTTAATGGTTCCATCGATGGCATTCTGTAGGTATCTCTGAAAGGAGCAAGGTGTAAAGATATAACCAACTTACCGTGTACGTTACTATGTACTTCGCTTTGGGTATAATTTACGTGAGGGCTAGCAATATTAACCAGATACCCAACACGAAGTGGGTGGTGAGGTGTTGGGACCTGTGACTTATTGTTTGTAAGCAGACTCCTCTAAACACGAGGTTTCAGCTTCTGTCGGGGAAATGTAAGGGAGTGGATCTAAATTATGAAGAGAAACTTCCCAACCTCAAGTAAACGGTTATGATTATTGTTCGGCCACATAAAAATCACTCAAATGCATACATATCTAACATGTATTTTGGCACAATAACAAGCGGAAGATTTCTCCAAATTTTGGAGGAACATATATCTGCATATGCCCTTTGTAGAGAGGTCAGCTGAGTTTGTATATTAAGTTAGTTGTGCATGCCAAATAATATCAGGCAATACTCGTGTTCGCCTAGCGAAAGTTAGGGATTATGACATTTGGTGCAACAGTGACGGTACTCCAGCTGAATTTCAATGCACTATGCCATGACAGTGAATTATGTTTTAGATTTCCGAATGGATTCAGAACAATCGATCCTGGTTCGATACAAACCTAGACTTAGAGGATAGATTCCATCTAGTTTCATGTGCTACGCTACAAACGGCTGTACTGATACTTCTTTCCTAGCAGGATCCAATCCCGATAAATCCAGAAAATTGAGTAAAGAGAACGAATTCAACCTGACTAAAAGTCCTACCTCTGAATCGTAAAAAAATGGAGGAAGGAATCACTAGTAGTTATTTATTGTGGTGAAACGAAACGACGGTAAACAAAGCACAGCAGCTACAACCTCCATCAAAGAAGTTCGAGTTGTGGGTGACATAAGTTGTCCGGAGACCCTAGAAACTACGGTAAAGAAGTGGACTGGATTAACCTAAACCATTATGGATGGTGTTTTGGAACGAACGTGTCTCGGCAGGGTACCGACTTCTACAAATAAGTTTTGTCCGGCGCAAAGAACTAACAGCAGTTCCCATACTTCATGTTTATCTACATAATTCCCTAACGATTCCGAATACAGTTAATCCCGACGAGAACTTTATGTAACTGACCATGATGTATGAAGCAAAAGACATGATTTGAAAACATATACCGACGAATTTACAAAGACTCATGCTTAGAAATGGTAGGTATGGCAACTTGGACGGATGCATATATGTGCCTGGTCCTACGTTGGAACTGACTGACTGGGAAATTGTAGGCGATTAGTGATTGTAAGTGTCTTATGCATTCCAACATTTAGATACCGTATCCTAGGAGACTAGATTGTCATTCAGCTAGTAAAAGAATATTAATCACCGATTACTTTAGACATCCACATCTTACGAAGTTAGGGAACTGGCTTACACAGGAATCGACAAAAAAGGCATTTGCATCTTTGAACATGCCAACATTACCTGACAGCTTTTGCAAAGAAAACTACCAAGGTAACTAATTGCTGAAATTCAGGTGGACAGTTTACATCATCTTTTGGTATAGTTTCTATTCTTGACACGCCATGTTCAGCAGTTAGACAGTTATAAAGAACTCAACTAATATGTTACTTAAAAATAGAACATGTGACAGGTCTAACAACAGACATAAACTGTTGGTAACGGTTGTAATTCAGTGCTATTATGTTCATGTAATGAACTTCACCGCATCTAAAAGGAATTACCTGAGAATTGCGATTTCAACGTATGAGTAGGTTGAAGATATTATAGAAAAGCCCACCGGGGCTTGAAACAGAATAACAACTATGTTGAAGCATAAGATTTGTCTTGTATTTACACTTATATGGTTATCTTATATCTTGCAACGAAATATAGAATATTACAAGTTGGGATTTCGAAAAGACTCGGCTTGCTTTTTAACCCGGCTGTCGTATTCCTTTCTGTTTTGTATATATAATGTGTAGGCGTCAGCTTGAGCAGGATCTTTAGGATTTGGATGATCTAATAAATCTTGAATACCTAAGAGAATCTTATAGTATGTTAAAAAAAGTTTTTTAGATACTTGTTTGATTGTAACTGCTGGTCTCCAGTGTTTTTCTTCATCCAAGAGGGAAAGACACACGGTACCAGACGGAAATACATTGGGATGGAATAAAGGTGGCTCAAACTTGCATTTGGGAGGTGTTGTTGGATATTCCGGCTTGAAATACATTCTAAGACTGAACAACCCCCCCTCCCATAACGTCTATATAGCTTTAGAAAGAATATACCATGGATCTTACGCCTTTTTTTCCAGGTATACTACAATTCCAAGTCATCAGGTCTAACGAGCCATCAGGGTTCTTCATGGGCTTGGCTACAAAACCCTTAAGACATGATATAATTAGTTAGTTAACATACAAAGGGATGATCTTTTCGCCATGCTTTCCGTTCCTCTGCTAAGCGTTTCAGGGCGATACCCTCTGCTTCAGCATAGTCCCCCATATCGTATAACTAGAATTCAATTATAGAGCGTCAGCTGTAACGGGTAAAACAACTTCGAATGTTGTTTAGCCGCCTTTTCAGGCTACTCTCTACCCGCGTTTCAAGGTCTGATCATCTTATCTTTATTTTAGTCTTATTAAAAATACCTTTATAAATAAAATGTATATGCTTGAGGCATCGTAGTTTTGGAATTTTGTTGTAAGCACAGGAATCATGAAACTTTATAAGACTTTCATGATATGTACATTTGCTGAACTATTAGCCAATTTTAAGATCAGATAGTAGACATAAGCAAACCTATTCTAACATAATGTTTGAAACGTTGTTTACTCTGCAGGTAAAACCGCATCTTACTGTATTATGAGTCGTCCCTGTTATATAACACTAACCGGGTGTGTCAGTGACTTGTTATAGAGTAGTCGGACGAAAATAAAATAAAAACGAGCATCAAAGTGTTTTTCCGTATCGTTTTCGCTATGATTAAGTGATATCTTAACCTGGCCCATAATCTTGTGGTGAGATTGAGGTTTCCAAGCTGTTCGTGTAAACCAATCTGTGGGTCTCTGGATTCGGCGGAGTTTAAGTTATCTGAACTTTTTCTAATAAACTTAAGAATATTTCACAAACAAATCTTTTTTTACACTTGTTTTTATCCTTTCTGTGGAGTATGGTGAACGTAGTTCTCGTATCCTCGAAAGTAAGACGCTTTTCTACAAATTTTGGCTGCAACAACATTAGTTCATTCTGTGGTATGGTCTTTACATCTTATGACATTATAGTCATTTAAAGAACTGGTGGTAGAAATATTTACTTATGACTAGTGCACATGTATATGTTTTTGGATATTAGTACACCATTCATCCTTTGAACCAGTGGGAGTGATCATACGTCGTTGTCATCCATTATCAGAAATGAATAGGTATTAGTTTCACATTATGGTCTCGGGATATAATGTAAAATAAATACCCGTTTTTCAGACAAGTGTTGAAAATTAGTTTGCTATCATGGTTTGCAATCGCGAAACTGATTTGCAGCGGTGAAAATATCCTAAAAATAAATTGTTTTTCAAGTTTTTTACATTGATGCACACCTCATTAGTTTTGCTGGACACATCCCAGATGAAAGCACTCGGACAGGCATCCACACGGGATCACGGGTGAATGAGCCTTGTTACGCATACCCTGCAACTACTAGCCAGTATAAGTCAAACGCTTCTCAACATATCGATAACTTTCAAAACATATCTTCGATCTTATTCATTCCTGACTTGATCTGTCTGGGTTGCTTTCTTTCAATTATAAAGGCGTTGTGGACCAAAGGACTAGCAAACCCCGAGTGTCATTGACATCTTTAGATTAATATTTGATAACATGAGACCAAAATATTACAAATCATTAGATCAGTAAATATTGTGCAAAACTCATTCGGTGTGTCGTTGAAGTAGTTTCATCATTTTGAAAATCTAATATTTTTGTAACTGTCGGTCTAGTGCATCGTAGTATCGATGGAGTTATATTCGAAAGCTGTTACTTCATGTATAGACAGAATAGTTGCGCTGTTTTTCTTTATTGTAACAAAGTGATTAGAAGTGGAGTTGAGTTACTCGTAATACTGTTGATTTCAGCAACAAATGAACCGTACCAAGATTTATAAAATTCGTAGTTTAGCTAATCAAAAAGTTTAATTAAGATACTTATTATCTTAAAAAATAAAGCCTTTTTAAAATACATCTTATCCTGATTAAGAAACGCCTACCAAATAATTCACGTGTAAATGGATGGTGCTTCTAATAAATATTTACATACACAAATCATTCAAGATTAGGAAGATTTGAAAGTTCACTAATAAATTTCCTGCAAATGATAGTTTTAATTAATGTTCGTGTGTATAACAGATTTTCTTTTTATTTTATCACAATGAAAATGATGCTACTTAATTTTGAGAAACCATAAGTGACTATATAACATTGAGAATTATTTTCTCAAAGTAAAGTTATATTTACACTACAGTGAAACAGGTTAATAGAAATATCTAAAAGTTTAATACATTTAATGAATAATAAGCAACATATTGCTCATCTCACGAAAAAAAACTAGAAGTCATTTGTTAAATACAAAGTTTTAAATTATTTTACAAACTTTTTAATAATTTTAAACGATCTTTTGCCTTAAACTTCATTATCTTTTGGATTATTAACTTTAATATAAAGCTGTGGAACTTGAAGAGAATTTATTGAAAAGAATATTCTCAGTCCATATATCTGTGTCTTAAGTATTATGATGATTTTTCAGACTTATCACAATGTTTTAGAATATTTCCAGTATGTTTGATCTCAAATTAAGTACATTATTTTTATATTTTAATTTTACAGATAAATTATCCAAGTCATCAAAAGTTATGATATGTACCGCGTTAAACTAGTGAGCAGCTTATAAAAATTTACACTAAAGAGTCCTAATGGAGGATTTCTATCTGTAAAGATACAGGCTGTAATTCTTTACATTCGAAGTAATTTACATTTTGTTGTAATTTAGTAACACCGAAGTTAATAATGTCATAATCTGAAACACCATGTGTTATAGAGTTATTCGTGGAATCAGAGATACTGAAATTTGATTTATGAGAAACATCTATGATTAAATAAATCAATTAAAATCAATAGTAAACTGGGAACATAAAGTCTATGATGGATCCTAACAATAATAAACTTTAGCGGCCCGTAGATCTGACTCCAAGTAGATTGTATGAATGTTTTTTATCACCAATCCACGTATATAATCATTGACTTAAATCGCGTTAGTTAATAACGGAATTAAATAAGTCAAATAACGAGAATGGACTTGTGAATACATATATTTTATATACGAAGCGAACAGAACAATTAGAAGAGAAACGACGCTCAGTGAAGATGGCGGTTGAGCCAACTCCCCTTTAACCAAGCGTTAATCAATATTTATAGTTACACAAAAATAAGTTACAGACATGTGACGAGTAATGGGATGAGAAGTGTACGCACGCCTACGCGCTCATATAAAAACAGTCAAGATTGATAAGCAAATAATTAATAAGGTTAGAACGTGACTCAAGTAGAATGAATCGATTGAGATGTCCGAAAGTTATATGGGCTTAACATACTAACAGACACTACAAAACAATAACCTCTTGCATACTGTCCTATATTTTATCTATGACTTGAAAAATACATGCTATTTTGCTATTTAATTTATCCTAACTTCTTTAAATGTTATTTAGTAAAATATTTAAAAAGGTGAATACGGTAGAGAGAAATATAAATGAATTTTCTTTATGTTGGAGTAGGGCGATTCCTGGAGTCCCTTTCGGGGGTCTACTGCCGGTCCCAAGCCCGGGTAAAGGAGGAGGGTTGGGCATGGGGTTGGCGTCCCCATCCCGTAGAAAACTAACTCGCTAAAAAAACGCTAACCAGAAAAAATAACTCAAACCATTTAAACTCTGCCCTGGGAGTTAGAGGTAATATGACGCTTCATGGTGAAAGCCGAGTTCCTTCAGAAGTCACGAGGCCGATGCCCCTTGTAACAACCAGAGCAACAATTTTTATAGGTACATGGAACGTCCGGACAATGTGGGAGAACGGGAAGACCAGTCAAATAGCAACGGAAATGAGGAGACACAACTTGGCAGTGCTGGGAATCAGCGAAACCCATTGGACCCAAGCTGGACAACAAAGGCTAAATACGGGAGAGATGCTGCTATACTCCGGTCACAAAGAGGAAAATGCTCCACACACTCAGGGAGTGGCTCTAATGCTGTCCAAAGTAGCACAAAATGCACTTGTAGGATGGGAATCTCACGGATCCAGAATCATCAAAGCATCATTCAAAACAAAGAAGGAGGGGATCACAATGAACATTATCCAATGTTATGCATCCACCAATGATAGCAACGACGACATTAAAGATCAATTCTATGAGAGGCTGCAATCAATCATAGTGAAGTGCCCAAGAAAGGACCTCACCATTCTGACGGGAGATCTCGACGCCAAAGTCGGAATGGACAACACCGGATATGAAGATATCATGGGACTGCATGGACTGGGAGAGAGGAACGAAAACGGGGAAAGATTTGCAAATCTGTGTGCATTCAACAAATCGGTCATAGGCGGCACAATATTTCCACACAAACGTATACACAAAGCTACATGGATCTCACCGGACCACACCACAGAGAATCAGACAGATCATATTTGCATCAATAAAAAGTTCCGAAGGACAATGGAAGATGTGAGAACCAGGAGAGGAGCGGACATAGCTTCAGATCATCACCTGGTTGTGGCCAAATTGAAACTGAAGCTAAAGAAGAACTGGACAACTGGACAAACAGCACCACAAAGGTTCAATACAGCCTTCCTTCGAGATACTGACAAACTCAATGAATTCAAGATAGCTCTCAACAATAGGTTCCAAGCCTTACAGGATCTACTGAAGGAAGAAGAAACTACTATGGAGGATAGCTGGAAAGGCATCAAAGAAACATTAACTTCAACGTGTGAAGAGGTTCTGGGCCCCAAGAAGCATCATCACAAGGAATGGATCTCTATAGAAACACTGGACAGGATCAAAGAAAGAACAAGAAGACAGCAATTAACAACAGTCGAAGAAGAGCAGAGAAAGTCCAAGCACAAGCTGAGTACATAGAAGCAAACAAGAAAGTGAAGAAGAGCATTAGAGCTGACAAGCAAAAATACGTGGAAGAACTAGCAACGACGGCGGAAAAAGCTGCAAGACAAGGAAATATGAGACAGCTTTACGATACGACGAAGAAGCTTTCAGGGAAATACAGTAAATCAGAGAGACCAATCAAAGACAAAGAAGGAAGACCGATCACTGATTCAACAACAGCGGAACAGATGGGCAGAGTACTTCGAGGAACTCCTGAACAGGCCTGCGCCAATGAATCCACCGGACATCGAAGCAGCACACACAGATCTTCCTATAGATGTCAATCCACCAACGACCGAAGAAATCAGAATGGCCATCAGACAAATCAAGAGCGGGAAAGCAGCAGGACCCGACAATATACCAGCTGAAGCGTTGAAGTCAGACATCGAAGTAACTACA